AAAGATGATCCTATCTTGGCACATGATGATGATGGGCAACCTCTCATAGTCCCTGCAATCCCAAGATCTATTTTTCCCCTTCCACATCTTCTCAAACCACAGGGATGATTTTGGCTTGGCTGCTAAGCTGCTTACAAGACAATTCACTGCCATAGGATGTTTTGGATGCAGAAGGATAAACAGGATTAAAAAGAAAACAAAATTTCTTTTGTTTCTTGGGAGATTCTTATTCTGTTTTTGTCCTCTTCTTATACTGCTAGCATGTGAACACTGGCAGAAGGAGGCTACCAGGGTAGAGAAGGTGCCACGGTGAGATCCTGCGTGGCTGTTCTTACATCTAAGTGATTTGGGACCACACATTCCAATTTAAGACCCTGGTCTTCACTTCAGAATGACAGAAAATAAAGGCAGGAAAGGAAAAAAAACAACAGTGGGTCATCGAGTCTATCCTTACATTAACTCAAGGGAGGCTGAGATAGAAGGAAGGTGGTGAGACAGTGGTTGGATGCCATAATAAGAGCAGTCATCAAATTGCATTATAGATTTGTGCTGAAGGGACACACACTGGAAGTTACCTGCTGAGAAGTGTTGATAGTTTTTTTCTTGAGAAATAGATGAAGAAAGGCAAGTTCAAAGTCTAGACCTCCCTTCACTCTATCTGGGTTGATGAGAAGTGAGCCAGGACATGCTAAGGTAGGCTCCTAGACAAAACTGATCATAATCTATCTGAGCAGGGTTCTCAGTCTTGAGAGGCAAAACTCATCCATATGCAACACTACAGAAGAGCCTTCTTTAGGCAAACCAAAATGTTTACATTCTCTATCTTTGGCAGCTGATTCCTGTTACAGCAGTTTGTCTATCACACACAAGTGTGAAGTGGCAAGAAGGCTGAGACTGCTAATGGACTGATGCTTGTTCCCTTCCTGACAGGATTTTTAGGAGGCATGGCAAGCATATATGGATACCAAGGGAACTTTTGCAGGTGAGACAATCACGACAAGCTACTTCATTTTAGTTTCAGGCTCCAGGCAAAGGAGGCAGTGTGAAAAAGCAGAGTGAGAAAGGGAGCTGGTAATCCACAACCGAAATGATAGCCATTTTTCAAAAGATAGCTATGATGGTTTGCTCACATTTTTATGCCCATGACACACAGGAGAAAAAGATATTGTCTCAGAAGATCAGAGTAAAAAAGAAAAAGTTTGATAAGGGAAGTGCTATTTTTCACTGGGGGCAGAAAACACTGAACTGGAAGGTGTGACTGGGTAAGAGCTCTCCAGGGCATACAATTCAAGAAATGTTTCAGGTGAAATTCCATCTGCCCATCTCTGCCTCTTACCCCCACTTCCAGCTCCCAAACTGACTTTAAAGAATGAAATGTGAAAGGATTATAAAATTACTCTGCAATTATCTACTGAATGTACAAAGAACATTTCACAGGTCTCTTCTCCCTATCAGAACAAAGAGGGAAACTTAAAATAATATTAGCACAAAAGGTCCCTCATAGCAGAGATGGTGATTTTTTTCAAATCTGTGATGGGGAGTGGAAGGGAACTTCGACCTGATTTGTAAGAAACCCACTTTTTTGTGTTGATGATTGTTGTTTCAAATCAATGTTGTTCCCTTAGAGCTGCTCCATCTCCTCTTTGGCATTCAAAACAGGCTGGAACCTCTTAGAGTCACATGCAAGCTTTTGATAAAAAAGACAGCAAGGATGCAAACTGAAGCTGAGTCGTTGCTGTTAAACAGTACTTCAGAGATTGGAAGGACTTGGGGATGTATTAACAGACGACATTCATATATGCTGAAGACTACAGATATTGACTATTAATAAATGAGCCAATGGTGATTCTCTATGCGAAGAGTCTGCAGTATTAGTTCAGCGTTGAGCATATACGTAACCCCATTTTTGTGACATCAGAAACCCCCTTTAATATCTAGGGCTAATTGCTTCTTTTCCTGGTAGCCTCACAAGGAAGCAGAAGATTGACAGCTTGCTGCATTAATGTCAACTCTGCTGCTTCCATCCTGCACCACTGACTTAGCAGAGGTCCTTCGTCTCTACCCCTGCCCTTTCTCACCTTTCAAAATCACCAGCCTGTCATCTGTCCACACGTCATTAATAGCAAAAACTATAATGCTGGAGAATTATCCATTCTAACTAGACAAGTATATATGAAGAAGCTGTTTGGCATAAAGGCCATCTTTATGTCCTGGACCTGTCAAGTACTCATCATAGTTCATAACCAGGGCTTTTTGGCGCTGCAGTGCAAATAAACACATAAAATGACAGGCGTGCTACTGCAGAGGACAGGCAGCTTGCGTGAAAAGAATACAGGTATCCTCCCGTCATTTCAAGAACAAATTACTACCAATAGTAGCCTACAAGACAGCTTTACTGAAGGAAATAATTTTTCTGAAGACACTGTCTACTTATGAAATCTTTCTTGCCAATCTCAATGTTCCGAATAAACTGCTCCAAACCTCATCATAGTATTTTCTCTGGAATCAGTTAGTCAGATTGTCCTTTTCAGGCTACCAAATGCTAATGTCCAACCACACTGTGCCCTCTAATAGGCAATGGGCACAGAACAATTGCCTGTCAGAAAGACAAATAGAACTGATTGGATGCCTGGTTATAAGTAATTAATTATAGATGGGATATCATCCATAAAGGAATAGGACATTCTATCATTTCTCTTTTAATATACAAGCTGAAATACAACCTGAGTCTTTAATTGGTGTCCACTAGTAGTAGGTATGTCAGATAGAAATGTCATCCAACTTTTCCTTCATTAAAAATTCCCCAAAATGTTTTCTGGGAGCCTTCTGAAACTGTGTTCTCCTAAATCCACTAGATTGCATTTGGAGACTGACCAGTGAATCCACATGAACGTGCAGATCACAGACATGACCAAACTAGAGGACACTTTTATTTCTAAACCATTAATGGAAGTATTGGATTTAACTTTGATTTGAATAAACGTATCTAATTTTAGACATGCATACAGGTATGACGATAAGATTATATTGTCAGCTTGATAAAGCTTACTCTCTGCTGTATGTATTTTCTTTGTAATCATAAAGAAGCAGCAAACATTTTTCTCCCCCATAACTGCTACAAGATGTCTATGAAAGAATTTCATTCCGTAAAGAACCCAATTATATATATATATCACATGTATTATAGCTTTGGAAAGAATAGTGCTGTTGCTTGTTAATTTCTAAAAGTCATTAAATTGCACATTATTTTAATTAAACAAAGTAATCTAACAGGCACTGCAGATGTGACGGGTATGCATTTGAAAACTTTATAGTTCTTCATTCTGCATACTCACGCCAGAAATGACAAGAATCTGGTGAATAGCACAACCCAGATGATACAGATCAATAAAGAAGCTTTTTATGAGCAGCCACTGCAGCAAACAGGCACAATGGAGGCATAAGACTATAAAATTATTTTTTCTTTGAGGGTACAGTTGAGTTTAAAAAAGTGAAACAGGCAAGAGCCATTTTTACTAAGAAATTGTGAAAATCAGAAGTGCAAATGAAGGTTTTGGTTTTAACCAAAGGACAGAAGCAACATCAGAGTGTTTGTGGAGTGTTTTACCAACCAAGCTGTGTTAATATCTCCAGTCTTTTCTGAGCATTGCCACACATATTCAAGACTGTATAAATGGCTAAGTGACTCCTAAAATGTGGAATTCTTTGAAATGAAATGTGGTGAATATTTGAGACTATTTGGTAGTATAGTCCAAAAAAAGATGTATGGGAAGAAGAGCTTCTCCACTACTATATATTTGCCCATCCAATGTTCATCAGTGCGGTAAGCGCCTTAAAAAAAATTGTAAAACTCCATATTGACAGGCTACAAAGTAACTGCTTCACTTCTGTTCTCCCTTGTGTATATATGGATCTCCTCTTGTATTCTCGTAGACATGTCTCTGCGTTCCCCCTGTTGTCCGGTTCTTCTCCTCGCCAGCAGAGGAGTGTTGAGGAATGCCTTTTGCAGCACTCCCACTCTCTCCCTAATGGTCCAGAATTATCAGCTTCCAAGAGCAATGCAGCTCTGCCACTACTGCTGGCAGAGGGAGGTAGTCGCTGAGACAGGTAGTGCCAATTATTGACAGCTTTTAAAAAATCAAGGTCATACACTTGAACTTGACTTGGGGGCTTATTCAATCATCAGCCAATGAAAAACAAAAGAATTAAGCAAAACTAGAGCACTGTGGTTTTTCTGACTTCTGCTGATGAGCAAGTGAGCTACGTTACCCTACGTTACCTACTGCCTACACGGTGCACAGTCATACACAATTATGGTCATACACCATTACCTCTCTACTGAAGGTAGAAAAGTTTCACAAAGTTTCATCTTACAGATACTCAGTATACCTGATGGATAAAGGCTAGAGAAAGCTGTTGAGAGAGACAGCATTTGAGGACTTTTTGAGCTTGAATCTCACTCCTTACACTGATCATTCAACTTTATTCAATGCTTCCTCAGGAATATTACAAGAATGTAATTATTAGAACTGAAGGGAAGAGAACTCCTCTTTCATGGGTGACTGCAATATTTTGAGATCTGATTTCACTTGTATGTCAAAGCTCCAAGGCAGTCTCTTATATCAGCTTTTCTAGACTTGCTCTTCAATTCCCAGTTTTGAGTACACTAGAAAAGGAAGTCAACAAGAAACCAAACTGCCTAATCAATGTGTCCTGTTAAAACAGCCCACTTTCAAACTTCCTACGTGTAGAGTATTAAATCTGTAAGATACTAGCTTTGGCTATTATGTACTTTGCATTGTGCTAGCACTATTTATTTTATTCTCCTTTCTACTACTTTAAAAATGGTGTGTATATATTGTGCAGAGCTATGAAGAAACAAAACCAAAACCTCAGAAGGGACCACTATGGACAAAGTATTTCCTGTAGGATAAAGAAAGCATTGTGAATATGCTTAAAATATAAACATAAAACTCAGTTAAGGCAAGAGAAAAACATACCTGTGAAAAGCCAATCACCTCTCCATTGTCATCAAGCACGTTAAAATTAATGATTGGACCTTGGACATCAGGATTGCTGAAATCTGTATCGCTGTAAATACGTACTACAGGAGCCCCATTGGCATATTTTAAGGCAGACAGCACAGTATAGGTGTAGTGAGCTAATGCAAAGGTATGCTGTTTTATTTTCTCCATTCCACCTAAAAAAGAAAAGTGCATGTACATGTCAGATCCTTTATTTTTATGGAAATGTAAAAAAAGGATGATTTTTCAGAATGGTGTAGCTGGGAGGTAACTAGCACAAAATTGGTAGTTTTGGTTCCTTTAAATGAATATAAAATTTGCAAAAGTTTCTTTCCTCATACAAAAGCTTCAGAAGTACTGTTCCACCAAGGATTTATCTACAATTAATCTACTGTAGAAATCTGAAGTTACACTGAAAGGGATTCACGCGCATTACAACATTGATAGTTCCAGCCTAGACATATCAGTAAGACGTTCTGGCACAATTAATTTGAAAAGCAAGTTTTGCTCCAGATTTGACTCTGGAGATCATGGGAATGAGGCATCAATTCTAGCACAGCACAGAAGGCAAATTGCTATGTCTAAGATAAAATAAAAATAATAAAATTCTAAATGAAATTACAAAATACAAGTGTTAGTCTACAAGGAATTTACTTGAATGCTGAAGAAATATTCTTCCAAGCCTGCTCTTCTTTTTGCAGAAGAAAAAGAAAGAGGATGTTGTGAACGCCTCATTGACTACACCCATGCAATCTATTTGCTCCAGAGAAGCTTTGCAGAGAAGTTTTCACAGAACTTGGCTCGGAAAAAGCTTAAAGAGGAAATATGTTGTCTTTCTTGGCTTTTTTTTTTTTTGCTACACTAAGGAGTTTGGAAAAGAGGACTGCAGAGATTTCCTGACAGAGGGAGACCTCTTCTACATCTCTGCTTTCTGAGAGGAGGTTGTGTCTCTGTTAGATGTCCCTATCAAAATGGCTTCTCATTCTTGTGCTCAGAGGATATGCCATAGGATGATATACCATGGTCACCTATGGCTTCGGGGATATTTTGATTCTCTGCAGGAAGCTAAAACATAAGCGTCAGATAGATACAAAACCAGCCATTTCAGTCAAAGGAGAACATACGTAACCTGAAATGTATAGTTTGTGATATTCACTGGGATAAACTGCTGACAGGAGACAAGTAACTGGGTATGACAATAAATACAGTATGAGAAAAGGAATAACCCTAACCCTAACCAAACAGTAATTTATCACGTGGAACAAGAAAAGTACAAGTAATCTTCAAAGTAGAAACTGAAAACCTATGAATTTGCATCTTTATGGAAGACAATTAGATGATAACAATATGATGTCAAAGTATTGTAAGAAACACAGGGAGATACCTGAAGGCTAAGAGCATGTTTAAACCAGATCAAATCTCCACTGGAGACAGCTGGAGTTTTGGCTGAAAATCCAAAGTGGTTTCGATTATGTATACTATGCATTGCATTATGGTGGGCGTACATCATGTGGGGAAAAAAAAGGAAAGTATAATTTCCTCAAAAGCCTCTTTAAGTAGAACAGTCTTTTTCTGCCTGGGTTTTAGACCCAGAGTATTTTCTGTAATGTTGAGTATCTTATTTGAGGTACATGAGCATTTCTGTAACTAAAAAGATGTTTGACATTTTCTTTTGCTTTCTTTTTTTAAACTGCGTAACTATGAATTTTACACTTCTGCGCATACCATTTTTATATCTGAGTATCTGGAAACTTCTACAGTCTGATATAACTGCTCTTGGACAGAAATCTTGTGATCTGCTTGTTGACTTTTGTGCCTTTACTCCACAAAAAGACTGTGTAATTTATGAATGTATATAAAGGAAAAAAATAAGATATCTTTCTCCTGACGTACAGAAGAATTACAGCAACTTCTGTTATTTCACTTTTCTTCAAGTTTCTGTATTACGTGCTATCTCCTTTAGATAAGCTAGGAGAACAGATAGTAAAAGCATAGAAACAGATTTGATATAAGGTGGAAGTACATTTTTTGGTGCTAAAGAATAATAAAGAGGAATAAGATATTTAATGAGATACTAACACACAAAGCACTTTCAAGGAACGTTGCCAGAAGCTAATCAGTACAATTTCTAGATGTTAGCCACAGTAAACTTGGCAAGCATCTCTAGAACATTTTGGTCTGAAAGACGATTTGTATTTTCAGAGTCTTTGAGAATAAAAGATTGCCTAGTCAGAGAAGTCCTAGTCATTGTTTGGCAGAAGTTAAGAGTCTTGAAATAGTAAAAAAAAAAAAAAAAAAAAAAAAAAAAAAAAAAATTTTTTTTAAAAAAAAAAAAGAAAAAAAGTGTTCTTTCTCCATTCGCCAGAAAATAGCTGTCTTAAGAGAACTGACTGCCTTGTCAGCTTCTGAGATGTCTGTAACCTCCTGATTCAGAGCTTTTCCAAATTGGCAGGAATCTTTTAATGGAAGATTAAACTACTGTCCTTGTGTCTTGTTGAAGAAATCTCTTATTCAGAAATTTCAGTCTCTCATTCACAGCAATCATCCTGCTATCATTTCTATATTGTCTTCAGCCATTCTCTTTTAAAGTTGCTTAATCACATTTCCTTGTTCATTAGTGAGAAGCTGATGAGCCACTTAATTATTTATTCTGACAAATCCAAAAGCAATAGCCTGCAGTTGCTTTGCTGCCCCGTGACTGGAGAGCGGAAGCAGTGTTGCCAGGGTCCCATATTTTTAAGTAGCAGAATAGGTTGTGATTAGGTCTGATGTCACAGAAAACCCTGTGAAACAAATGCCGGCAAAGTGAAGTTTGTTCTGACAGAAAAGGGGTATATTCAGAAAATAGTTGTGATTTATTTTTATTTTGCTAAACAAAATGATCTGTCCTGTATCCTGCATAAACCCAGTGCTTACCTCATCTCCCTCTTCCTACTAGGGAAAAGAATATGAGGAAGAGCAAATAAAAACCAGAACAAACCTTTGGTCTCTAACATGATCTAAGGACTTGCGTTATCGCATCTAGTCTCATATTTGGGGTGACAAAAATAAAACTCATTGCTTGACTGAGCCTCTCTAAGGTAAATGATAAGGTAATCTTCTATATTATGGTTGAATTGGTATTTATTACCTTATTGCATTCCTGCATTTTATCTTCTCTCTATACAGACCTCTGGTTTTATGCCCAGTTCCTTAACCCTGAATACTTGGAGACTCTTCCCTAGCTGCCTGTTTGGGGATAAAAGAAGTAGCACACCTTAAGCCTTTTGGAAGACTTACAGCTTGGAAAAATCATCTGTACTTCATCTTGAGAAGGTGCTGGGAAGGACTCAAGTGCCCAGACTCCCTCTCACTATGGATTTTATTCCTTATCACTGCATTTTTTCATTAAGGTGAATTGCACCTAGTTGCTCCTAAAAATTATTTTAAAATGAAGAACAATTTATGCGCTCTGTAATTTGGATCAGAATGAATCTGATGTAGTCTAAATTACACCAGTTGAAGTCTATCTAATAGCATTCACTGTATTTATGTGTGTAGGAACACATTCAGCACAAAGGATGCTCTCATTAATGACTTACTTCTTCCTATGGTAGAAATGTAAGGACTTCCCTGTCAAAAGGGAAACTCCTGCATTTCTGTGAATTAATATTACTTTGTCCCCATGTGTGCGTTTTGACTTTAGATTAAGCCAGACGTGATCATTTAATTCATTCTTCTTCTCAATAGCACCTCATTTTTCACACTATTTGTTGCCACAATGAATGACATATATTTTTGCAGTGGCAAAGTTATTGAGCAGAAGAGATTCACAAAGCAAGCTTGTACTTTTGTGTACAAACCTCCTTGGCAAAGTACTCCAGTAAACCTGCGGAGATGCTGTTAAACCTCATATTGCTGACGTATGTTTGTACACCACATCTTTACAGATTAGCACGATCTCAGACCTACCATCCCATCTTATACTTCTATTTGGGTACTGTTATGGAAACTGATACTGTTCCAGTATGGAAAATTCAGAGTGCCAGTGCACTGCATAACCCAGGGATAAATCCACAATGTCAGCTCTTCCATAGGAATTGCATGTGTGCATATGCCTATCCATAGAGTCTGTGGGACAGTTCAGTCATCCGGAAGAGAAGGGTAAATTATCTCACATTTACAAGAGGGTTCAAACTATGTGCATTCAACCTATGCGCAACTGTCACCATAGTACTGTAAATCCACTGCTTGCCTTGCCTGGTGATAACTTCCTGTATTTGCATTACCTCCGTCTTATTATCTGCTTGTTATATGCAATATACAGTAAGATTTTTATCTAATCAGAGAAATATGAGATACACAGATGTCCAATAAGTATTCAGTACAGAATGCTTCTGAGTCAGTATAGACCTGGTTTTGCATTACGTAAATGGCAAACGTAATGGCATACAATCTCCTCTCTAAAACAACCAGGATTTCAGTAGCTCAAATGTTCAAACGTTAGTCCTTCCTGAAAGAACTGTAGACAGATAGGCGCATGTCAACATCTATAAAAGATTTTGAATAAAGACATTAAGATAAAGCAGAGACTGAAATTGAGCCTCTAGGATGAAAGCTCTGGTGCTTAAGGTTTTCAGGCTGTACTCAGAAACCTCTGTGATCTGCATTCAAATACAGTTCTTATCTCTCTTATTATGAGAAATTAAATACTGGAGATAAGGAAGAAGAGAGCCATAAATCAAATATACAGTTATTTTTCGAACTTGCTGTGAAAAAACAACAGAAATAGAGGTTTACGTGAACAAATTCTCTGTTACTCCAGTAAATCCAAACTCACATATATCTTTGGATAAGAAAAAGATCAATGTGATTCATTATTCTTCAGCATTACCTAACAGATAGCAACGAGGCAGAGAAATGATGAGCTGAAATCTCAACAAACTGATCAGCAGGGAGTGACACCAAGATGTAGCCACCTTCTAATAAATCCCAAACAAGACAGATCACCATGTGGGACCTGTGAGTCAATGTGCTAATGAAGCCATGGAACCTGTAAATCCTGTCAAACATTTGGAGTCCTTCCTTCACTTCCTCCAAGAAGCGTACATTAAGATTCATTTCTGGGCTTTTTTTGGTGTTCTTTTATGCATAGAACTGAATGTCTCTGACTGAAGTCTGTCACCTACTTAGTGTT